TCCTCCTCCTCCTCCTCCTCCTCCCACTCCTTCTCTTCCTCCCCTTCCTCACTCTCTTGCCAGGCATCTTGACTTTCGCGAGTTCATTTGCTCGCTAGTTCGACTCGCCGCCTTCATCTTTGACGTCCCCACGTTGGCCGACGCGCTCAACCTTCTCGTGGTGCGGAAGCAGGAGGGGGAGGGAGGAGGGAGGAGGAAGAGGAGAGAGGGAGAAAGAGGAGGGAGGAAGGACTTGGAGAAGGGGCGAGGATGAGGGAGGAGGTGAAGGGACGAGGAAGCAGGAGGGGAGAGGAGGAGGGAGAAGGGAGGTAGAGGAAGGGGAGGAAGGAAGGAGGAGGAGGAGGAGGTGGAGGAAGAGGAGGAAGGGAGGAGGAGGAGCAGGAGGAGCAGGAGGAAGAAGAAGGTACATGTGCTAACGAGGAGGCAGGAGGAGATGGACGTGGGGATGGGGCTGGTTGAGATCAAGAAGAGGCTGTCGTACATCAAGAGGTGCAAGCTCGGGTTCGGAACCTGGAAAGACGAGACCAACGAGTACAAGCTGCCGAACAAGCCCAAGGGAAGGAGCATGCGCGCGAGGAGAGACAAGAGGAGGAGGTCGAGCATGTTCCATGTGAGCTTGTCCTCGTGGTAGCTGCACGCGCTGACGACGTTGAGGTAGTTGATGGACATAGGAGACGACAAGCTCGTTGACGCCTGCCTCCTCCTCCTCAAGTTGTCTGGTGAGCGGATCAAATCCTTCCTTGTTTCCTCCTCTCCCTCCCTCCCTCCTGCTTCTCCTGCTTCTCCTCTCTTCCCGCTTCCTCCTCCTCCGCCCTCCCCTTCCTGCTCTTCCTGCCCCTGTTCCCCTCGCTCCTCTTCGTTTTGTCTCTGCTGCTGCTGATCCTCCTCCTCCTCCTCCTCCCCTCCCCCCCCCTCCGTCTTTCTATCCTTCCATTCATCTCTTCCAGGTGACAAGACTTCCACCAACTGGGTGAAGTTCGAAGCTCAGGCCCTCGCGTGCTGTGTGCCGCTGACAGGTAGAGAGAGAGGAAGAGAGGGGAGAGGGTGCAGAGATGAAGGCAGGCAGGCAGGCAGGCAGGCAGAGCAAGGAGATAGGAAGAAAAGAAGGGAGGTTTCAGGGAGAGCAGGAGAGAAGTGGTAGAGAGAGGAGGGGAGGCAGGAATCAGGAGGGAGGAGGAGGCAGGAGGCAGGAGGAGGTGATGTCTTGCTATCAGGTGGTCAAGTTTCTGGTCCTTCAGTGTCGAGAGCCGATGGAGATCCTCCGCACAAGTTTATGATACAAGTGAGGGAAACATCTCCTCTCCCTCTCCCTCCTGCCCTCCCTCCCTCTCCTCCTCCACGTCTCCCTCCCCTTCTCTCTACCTCCTCTCCCTCTCTGTCCTCCTCTACATATCCCTCCTCCTCCCCCTCTTTCTCTTCTCTTCTTTCCTTCCCTCTCTTCTCCTCTCTCGCTCATCGTGTCTGCAGGTTCGCAACAGCTCGCGCGTGTCTCCTCCTCCTCCTCTCAACATCATCTCCCAGGTTGTCGCACCAGCAGACGACAATCATTTCAAGCAGGCGAAGGACAACGTGGTTCCTCCTGGCGACTCCATCTCGTACATGATCTATGCGCACGTCGAACAGGCAGGGATCTTCCAAGGAAGCATTCATATCAGGTGTGAGAGGAGAGGAGAGGAGAGGGAGAGGAGAGGGAGAGGAGAGGAGAGGAAAGCCAAAGGCAGGAGATCTCAATGCAGGGAGGACAAGGACGGACAGAAAGGAGAGAGGAAGAGAGGAAAAGATGACAGGAAATTGAGATGAGATGAGAGGAACGAGAGGGAGAGGACGAGGACGAGGACGAGGAAGAGAAAGTCACACGTGCGCAGCGAACAAGACGGGGACGTTTCGATCTACACCATCCCTGTGTTGCTGCGAGTGAAGAAGTCACTCAGCCATCAGCTCAAGGAGATCAAGCTGAACAGACAAGTGCGACTGTTGTCGTTTCGAGATGATCTGTAATGTTTGTTTGCAGATGAAGAAGAAAAGTATGTTGATCTCAACAGGGCAGGTCAAGGTGAAGTTCTTGTGATGCGAGTCATTCAATAACAGCAATCATCAGAAGCATACCAACACACACATGGATCAGGACATCGTACAGAACACGTCAGCTGTGGACAACAGGTATATACTGTTGTCGAGCATGTGATGGTACTAAAACATCGTCAAGAGGGAAAATTTCAACCTTTGGATCATCTCGGCTAGAGTTGACTGACTTGTAGAATATGATCGTTGACTAGCTGATGGTGGACTTTAACGGAAGTCCGTAAGGCAACATATCTCTTGCATATCTTTGCAAGCAAAGATAAGTCGCTACAGTGAATGAGTGGGACAGCAACTATTGATAAAGTAAAATATGAATCATGACATAAGAGTTGATTGAAATAAAACATCTTGACGGTATTGATAGCTAATCTTTCAACTTGTACCTGACTTTATTCATCTACCTGACTTTCCTCGTTGCGATTCGTACATCTTGTCGTCACAACAGCTTCAGCATGTTATTCAACCCCATGCGAAGGCAGTGAGGGAGCGACAACATAATGCAGGGAAGCAGCAATCGCATCAACAAACAGCAAATCAAGACGATCGTAACATACAAAGAGCTTTCATTCAAAACTATACAGACTGCTTGCTTTACAAAGGAGGGAAAATCGATCGAACAAGGCACACCATGCTCAGCAACAGCACAACAGTCACTCGGACCCCCGTCTTGCTGCCTCTCGATGCTGAGAAGGTGAAACAATCTTTGTCTGAGCACTTGGGATAGATGTCAGTCCTGAGACTGTTCACAGCAGTCTCAAGATCGGTGCCGGTCAGAGTGCAAGAGGAGGCAACAAGGTCTTTCATGCTCGAGCAGCATGGCTTCTTGTACGACGACACGCTGCTCACGTTGATGCTCGGCTTCGAGCATTGCGACGAGGAGGTGCACCGCGTCATGGCCGACTCCATCACTCCCCACAGCATGTTGCACATCCCTCCGCAGCTAGCGCTCTGCTTGACCTTGGAATGGCAGAATGCCCAATCGTAGAAGCTGCTGCATGGCCAGTACTTGGTCGGGAAGTCATAGCCGATGGGCAGGAACGTCTGCAGCATCACTTGATACATCTGCTTCGCCATGTCATCTGCTGCTCCTTGGTCGTCTGCACAAGATGCCGCCATGAACGTGCGGCTGCCGCATAGACCTGATTGGAAATCGTCAATGAAAGGACGGTTGCCGAACAACGAGGCTGTCACCTTCAGGAGATGATACGGTCACAGACGAGTTGTAGCAGTCCAACCCATTGCACAATGGCAGGGAAAATAACAAGAAAACCACAAAGGCGGTGAAGAAGGAGCTCGCTTTCAGACTGTTCCTCGCTATCATCTCAATGCCGAGAAACAAAGCTGTATTTCCCGTACATACTCGATTCTCCCTTTCACAACAAGCTTCCCTTAATGACGGAATCAGCTTTGCTTTTTTCTGTGATATCCAAACCTCTCCTCTCCTCCCTGTCAATCCCTTCTCACTATCGCCAGCTCTGACTTCTTGGTCAGCAACTTCCCTTCAAGACACTGATGTCAGCGTTGACCTGTGTTGAGTCTTTCCTCCTCGAGCGTTCCTCTCCTCCTCTCCTCCTCTCTATCTCTCTGTCTTCTATCCTCTTCTCTTCTCTCTCGTCTCGATGACTGAACTCCTCCTCCTCCTCCTCCTCCTCCTCCTCCTCCTCCTCTCAGTTGCTGGTCGTGCGGCTCTGCATGGCTCCCTGGCCCCTACCCACAATATTACACCCTACCACCCCCTACCCTCTCGTCCATTGGACTACCCCTATCAATCTCTATTGGCACCCTACCTATGAGCTACCTGAAGACCGATCATTTTATGTACCCCCAACTTAGGACAGTTCCTTGGACCCCTACCCTATCAAATGTGGTGATCACCCCTTCTTTCTAGTACAAACACCCCTAACTTGTGACGGATCATGTTACTACTACCCCTTCTCTATCATCCACCCCTGGTTCTCTGTTTGTTCTGGATCATTATTACTCAAGGCTCACTACGGAGGACCCCTACCTCGAAACCACCCCACCCCCTTTTCCCTTCCTGCGGTGTGGTGTAGTAGGAGAGCTCCGATCTAGGGGTTGGTCAATTTGAAGGTTTCAACGAGGGGGTGGGGGTGGTTCTGGGGGAAGGGGCGTAGGTTATACCCCCTCATAGACACGGGTGGTACTGGTGGTACGTGGTAGGACATGGGCTTTTGAGGCTAGATTTTGAGGGTGGGTTATCCACCCCACCCTACTGATTATGATGAATGACGGGTGGTTAAGATAGGTCTATGGGGGTCCATCAGTCGTAGTCCAATGGACCCTTAAGAAACATTCTTAAAAACTATGTACTACCCTACCCCACTTTTAAAGCTTCAAATAAGAGGAGAATAGGGGTAGTGGAGAGTCGTAGAGTTTAGCCAACAAATGGGGATACAGTTACAAATCCAACTATCCTTGTAACCGTCAAAAGTTTGAGTCACCCCGGCCGTCACGGCGTTGGTCCGGAGCCGCTGCGGCGGGCCGGGCCCGGAGGCGGCACGGCGCGGCGGCTGGCACGGTCAGTCGGATCTGCCGGCGAATCCGACAGTCAGTCACCCGGGACCGCCGGGCCCAGTACGCCGTGGCGGGCCCGTGACTCGGACATGACTTTTACTTAGTATTATTAGTTATGGTGACTGGAGTCTTACGTCGGATCTGCACTGAATGTGACTATCGTAGCTCGTCCTCATCATGGTTGTAGTGACCGGCCCGCTCGAGGACTGAGCTCAGCTCCTCGTTGAGCGAGAAGGAGAGATCAGCTCCCTCCCCCTTCTTGTACTCCTCTATGATCCTCATGAGCAAGTTCTCCAGTGCCTGCCCCCCGTCGGTCTTGGAGGCGAAGCTGGAGATGATCGCAGCACCTCCTGTCATGATGGAGTTGATGACGGTCTGCCAGTTGTCGGCGACCCCCTGGTTGAACGCGGACATGCCCAGGAAGAGGAAGAGGAAGATGAGGCAGAGGAGGACTGAAGACATAGTGACATGGATGATGATGTCCTGCATGCTGATACCGTGCTTCGACAGCAGCGCAAGAATCTCATGCTCCTTCACGTCCGCAACCGTCCTCCTCGCCTTGTTGAACAGCTCCTCCAACTGTGCCTGGACGTCCTGTGCCTCCTTCAACCTCCCCCCCACCTGCTCCCCCAGCTCTTCCATAGCATCAGGAGCCTTCCTGGCAAGGTCTCTGACATCCCCGTCCAGCTGAACTCCAAGGTTCCTCGCCCCCTCCAGGATCTTGATCTGGTCAAGGGCCTGGACTTGCATCTGATGGTGAAAGTCGACGATCAACTGCTCCAGCCTCCCCTTGGCTGAATCGAAGAAGCTCTTCATCCTCCTGAACATGGACAGAACATGGCCGAACAGCCCGACGATGGCGGTGGCGTAAGGAGCAACCCTGTTGGGGTTGAGGAACATGCCCAGGAGCACCCAGACTGAGACGAGCACGCAAAACAGGATAGAAACCATGTAGGAAACGGCCCACACAAACTTCATCAGCTGCTGCTCGTACATGCGGATCCTGTAGCTCTTGCTGCCCCTCCTGTAGTAGTCGTCCCAGTCGAAGGCAGCAACGCTATCGAGCTCGCTCTCTCCCTCCGGAAAGACCTGCTGCTTCCCGCCCTTGGTCGTGCTTTCGTGGGGGATCCCCCAGTCCCTCCAGCGGAAGTAGTACATGACCATCGAGGCGAGGTTGAGGAAGAGGAGGATGATGATGCTGGGGAGGAGAATGGCGTCCTGCGTGATGGCGGCGTCGGAGTCAACACCAAAGATGCTGGTTCCCTTGTCCTTGACGATCATGTAGAACATGTTGGCAAGGAAGAAGTAGAAGATAAGGCAGGGAGCTAGCACAAAGGTCAGGTGCGCCGCTACCGTCTGAACCTCTCCGAGCTGCGTGTGAATGGTCTCAAGGAAGATCTCCCTTCCTACCTCCCAGTATGCAGGAGCCTTGTCCGGGTACTTGGGAGGAGCGAGATGAAGCCTCATCCTCGCAGTGACTCGCTCTAGGATGAACCACAGCCATACATCGATCTGGAGCCTCTGCATCACAAACTGAACCTCTCGCACTGACCTCTGGAAGGCAAGAAACTGCTGGCTCGTGGTTGTCTCGCCCGCGCTCTTCCTGTCTCCTCCTACTGCCTTCCTGGGAAGCACGTCGTGCCACTCGTAGAACTCGTTCCGGTCGCTCCTGTCAAGGTACACGATCCTGCAGTCGCACAGGTTTGACACCTGGTTCTTGTCAAACCCTTGGAGGGAGGGGGAGCCGTTGTCGTCCACCGCCAGGCTCGCTATGTCCGAGCACTTGGCGATCCAGCGATGGCTGGCGAAGTCGCTGACTCTGACGTTAGTCAGCTCAAACTTCATCTCAACTTTCTCCTTCCACGTCCTCGGGAGGATCCGGTACCAGAGGGGGGGCAGCCGTATGATCTTGTCCAGGGCGAAGAAGTCGAGGGAGAGCTCGGGGGCCAGCAGGGGTTCTCCCTCGGGGCCCAGAAGGGGTTCTGCATCCCCAGAGGGCTTCGGGTTGTTGAGGATGGCGAAGTTCTGAGACATCTTGATTACCCTTGTGATCATGTCAAAGGTTTTCTTGTTGCGCATCAGGTAGCCCGTGATGACTCTGATCCTGCTGCTGCGGATGAAGAGGAAGTACACGACCAGCACCACGTACACCCCCGCGATCGCTCCGATGATGAGAGAGAGCGTGAAGATGGTGATCGCCCTGCCGTTGGCGAACCTCGACGACGTCGACGGGCCCGTGTGGGGGGCCTCAGTATAGCAGGAGACGTCACCTGACGCCCAGCAGTAGGGTGAGCCCTCCGCGAACTTCACTGGGTTGCTCAGAAGCGCCTCCACAGCCTCGTTGGAGTAGCAGGTTGCCTGACCGTTCTCTACCAGGGAGAAGATATGGGCGCTTTTCTTGTAGCAGGAGAAAGTCAGGCAGGCGTTGGGGGTGCCGAAGCCCAGGCAGTTGCCGTTGGACGCAGGCGTACGGGAGAAGGAGCCGACGTAGGCGGAGGACTTCCAGAAGAACACGTCGGCACAGTAGTCGCAGTCAGGCACTAGCGAGTCCTTTGGAGCATAGAAGACGTTCTTGCCTGCCACGACGTCCAGTGGCTGCATCCTCTCCCTGTAGCTCCCCAGGTTGCGCAGGGTCCACTGACCAGGAGCTCCGTCCTTGACCGCTGTTGACATCATCTTCCTCAACGGCGGGGTCAGGTCAAGGTTCGCACGGGAGCCATGCGCTGGGCAGAAGGAGACAGTGGCAGGGTACTTGGTGAGCTGGGGTATGACGGTAAAGGCGGAGAAGGGGCCAAAGGGCCAGATCTGTCCTTCGATGAACCACCAGATCCTCTGCAGCGACCAGACGACCTCGAGCCCTCCTTGCATGATCCCGAGCCCTTGGAAGCTGATGATGGCATAGTTGTACACGTCGTTGACAATGGGAGAGTGGTCAACTCCGACGTAGGTCCCTTCCGAGAAGGCTCTACCTTGGAAGACAGCCGTATCCTGCTCCTGGTACTGAACCGCGTGCACTCCTACTGATCCGTAAGCACCGGAGACGTTCACGCTCCATGATGGCATCTCGCAGCTTGCAAGGTCGCACTTCATTGCAGCCCTGTAGGAAGTTACCGTGACATTGTCTGCCATGGTTGCGTTCACGACTGGGGTTGTATCAAACTTCCCCACGAGGCAGACAGCCTCGTTCACCGAGGAGATCCTCATCTTCGGGTGGGAGCTTGTCACAAGGTCGATGCTTCCTCCAAGGATCTCCAAGGTGGCACTCGCTGATGTCGGCATCGTGATCCCGTCCAAAAACACATTGCTCTGGGATCCCTTCAACGTCATGGATCCTGTGACTCTTACATTCTTCCCCTGGAACCAGATGGCACTCCCCGACCTGTCCAGCCCCTTCAGGTCCAGCCTCTTCAGCTCCACGTTCTCTGCCACCACAGCTACTTTCTCCGAGAACACCTCGACCTCCATGTCCTTGCTCGCAATAATCTGAACGTCGCACATGACCCTGTTCCACCATGTCTCTGGCAGCGAAGGCCAGAAGATCAGCGGCAAGAGCGTCACCTCTAGCGTGTCGCCGTTGACGACCTTGGCCCGGGTATCTGACAGACCGAAGGCACCATGGTTGATGCCGTAGCCGAGAATGCGGGGGTACCCACATTCCTGTCGATTGTTGCATGTGTTCATGATACGGATGGTACAAGTGTCGGTATCGATCGGCCATGGCGCGAAGTTCAAAGTCTCCAGCTTCTCGATGTGGATGCTGATCTTCTTCACCCCGTCCTCCAAGGAGACGACAGCCCTGGAGGAGAGCTCTCGGGCACCGATGCACAGGAACAGGATGAAGAAAAAGAACATGGCGAACGCGATGGTAGATCGGCAGTACGCTTGATACTTGTCGTAGAGAGGGATGCTCTGTATCGTCGGGAGAAACTTCTTCCTGTGAGCAGCTTCGATCATCTTCATCATTTCCTTCGATTCTAGCTTGCTCGGAGCAAGTTTGCGATCTGGAGTCTCAACAGACGGAGGTACCAAATTGTCGCTAACCTCTTGAAGGATCGATGTGTCTGCCTCACTCTGCTCGCCACGTTCTGCCTGCAAATATTCTTCCATGGTGTTGATCTCAGCGTGTCGAGGAAGACCTGCGATGAAGAGACCAGAAGGAAACCAGGCCCTGGTTGGTCAACAATCAGGAGGGGCGCAAGGAGAGTGGAAGAGGGAGAGCATTCCAAGGGGTGGACTACCCACCCTAATTTCAGTACCCTACCCTACTTTTGAATATTTTTCAGGTTCATTTTACAGGGTGCGGGTAGGGGTATTGGTAGGTGGGGTGAGGGGTAGGGGGTCATCATTCTTGATGTGATGAGACTTATCACAGGAGAAGTCAGCGATGGCGAAAGAGACATGTAGAGTACTAGTTGTTGCCGATGTAGATGTTCTGAGATGAGTCATTCATAGAGGACATGACGAAATGAGGAGATGGAGAGATGGAGAGATGAAGATAAGAAGATAAGAAGAAATGAAGATAAGAAGCTAAGAAGAGACGAAGACATAAAGATACGAAGTGATGAGAACATAAAGATACGAAGTGAAGAGATGGGAGGATACGGAGACAATTCAATATGAATTATCGATGACAGCAACACGGTGCAGAAAAAAATGATCAGAAGCACGATGAGCCACGCTGCAACGATCGAGTAGCTGCTTGGTTGCGTTGACAAGCCAAGAAATCAGTATACTGGTGCAGAGGAATGTTGTGTTTCATTGACATATGCTTAGCACGTTGAGTATGAGGGGAATGAGGACGAAGTCGAACATCCCAAGAGATTTATTTCTTTCACAACGTCTAGGTTTGATGTTTTGGTAATACAACAAAGAAGAATACACCCAGGAGAACGGACCTGTTTATCTTAAAGATTATGGCATCAAAGTACATTCGGCTCGGAATTCGCCTCTAGCGTTCCTCGCTGTGCAAGCAAGCTATTGCAGGGTCGAGTGGTTGACCTTGAGAACGTCGCTGAAGCTTGTCCAAGAATCAAGGTCTTCGCCACTTACATCTGCATCCCACTCGCTCTTGGGTTCGGACCCCGACAGGAAGCCGTCTACTTCGTCTGCGATCCCACAATCGCTCTCCACGCTGGACACTTCGTGAGGACCCATCAGCGACAACAACCCGTCTTCCTCCTCTAGGAAACCAATCGGATCTTTCTCAAAGTCACTATCTCCATCCAACCTCAAAATGAAATCTCACCTAGATCTTCCGTCAGGGCACTTGGCACGTTCTTGTCCGCCATTTGGCCCACTAATTGATTCGAACAAGGCTGGGAGGGCTTTCCTGGATGATAAGGCTTTGGAGCTCTGTGAGGTAGGAAATCGCTTCAGCAGGGCTACAGCTAGGAGAAAGCAAGACCTCTTGACGATGCCCTGTTCGGTCTTCACGACGCAAGGATCAATCTTCGAATCTTCCAACAAGCTGTTTCCAAAGGTAGTGACCGCAAATCCTTGGTTCTTGGTGGTCTGTTGCTCTTTGTAGGGCCACTTCATGACTCCGAGTTTCCTGTCAACGGTCAAGGTCAGTCCCAACCCGTTGAGAGAAAGGGGTTGCCCTCACCTGCAGACTTTCTTGAAGGCAGTTGCGCAGATGCCCTAGGAGAAGAGAGTTAGTCTTGCTCCATGCGACAACGAAGATAAAGTACCAGAGTCTTGCAGGCTTTATGTAGCGGCAGGTGAAATACTTGCTCCAAGACCTCCATTGTGACGACGACACCTTCCTTGTTGTGACCTTGCTTTCTTCCTTGTCCTCGCTTCCGTCGCGGGAAGATAACATTCTTGTTTTCCTCTCCTCGCGTAGCGGGCAATTCTTGCGCAAGAAATGAAGACCCGAATGCATCTCGATGGAAAGCTAGCAAACTATGAGAGGATGTTTGAGGGGACTCTTCGATTTTGATGTCGGTCTGCTTGGGGGTGCTATTACGGGCAGCAAGTGCCATCTGAGTGTGCGAGCTAGATTTCCTGAAGATATCAATCCCGAGGCGATCTTCTTCACGGAGAAACTAGTCAGGCAACATCAAATCGATCACCAGGGTTCTGACCTTCCTTGATGTTTTCAATAAAATTACACTCTTCACGCTCCGGAGGAGTGTCACAATCTGTCCCTGAGTCTCCAGAGCTGTTCTGAGTTCTGTACAATCAATCAGATTTCACATTCAAGTGAGGGGTCAAGCCACCTCCACGACACTGGCGAGACCGCTGGACTAGTTTCAATGGCTGCTAAGAGCGTTGGGGGTTCAATGCACGCATTCAGTTGCATCGAGTCTGACTCTTCTGATAATCGATTCATCTGGCATTGCTGCTCTCGATACGGCCATTTCATGACACCAAGTTTTCTGTAATCATCGGTGTCAAAACTTAAGCCAACTTTTGCATCATGTAAACCTGCAGACTTTCTTGAAGGCGGTTGCGCAAACTCCCTGTCAAACATGTCTTCTCAGTCTAATCAAGAAGTGAAAGCATGAATGGCTCATACCAGAGACTTGCATGCCTTGTGCAAGGGCATATGGTAGACTCTTTCAAGGACTTCCATCGTCACGACGACGCCTTCTTTGCTGCTACCCTGCTTTCTGTTTTGGCCCCTTTTCCGTCGAGGAATGATGACATTTGCGCCATCCGGCACCATTGATGATGCCTGCATATTCTAGTCCCGAAAGTCCCTGAAGGATCCCGCCTGCAAGACACATACATCAAAAAAAGAAAAGAATCTGTCAACACGTAATGCAAGATGCAGCATATAATGGGCACGGGTTAGAGCTTTGGTGGGTATCATAGTAAGATCCCACACACAAGGGTGTGACCGAAGAACTGTGGAATGGAATCCGCAAATCATGCATCAAAACTAAATCTAACGTGCACCATGCTCAGCTGTTGGATTTCACAAGGAGACAAAAAATCATCAAGGAAAGAGGGGAGCTCGGCTAGAATGGAGAGAGTTTTCGAATCCGAGAGGAGATCAGATTCGGGAGCACAGATGTATCCAGAGTTCATGGTAAAGTAAGTCAATGGATCCTGGGAACCATGAAAACAACAGATACGAGATTTCGTGGTTGCAGGAGGCAATGATCATCTGAATAGGCAGTTTTGAGTTTGACGAGCAGAATGATGAGATGAGTGAATATGCTATGCATAGCAGAAAAGCGAGAATAGAGATGTGTGTAGCGGAGGATCAGGCCGAAGCGGGGGATCAACATGCAGGAGGTAGAATCCAAGGATGAACAGGAGGAAACCAAAAGGAGATGATGGAAGGAGAAAAGGAGTGACAGGAAGAGAGGAAGAGAGTATTGAATCGAAGACAAGTAGAAGCAGGTAGGATAGGAAGAGGAGCAGAAGTAGCAGCAGCGGCATGGTGCCCGATGCGCTGCTTCGATTGCGCATTGCTGCAGCAAGCAGTAGTCCCCCTCTTAAAGGCGGGGGGTGGGTAGGGTTATTGGATATCGGGGGTAATCAAAAATTGAGAGAGGGTGGGGGGTATTGAGTGACGGCAGTCAAGTGGAACGCACTGGTGCATGTAGCATAGTTAATGAAATAAATATAGTGAAGATGCTATAGAATGGACATCCAAGGGAGGATCAGAAAACAAAGCTTCAAAGACGCAAATTGGTAGGGGTAATAACGATACGCCCCCTAGATTGGGAGTAAAATGGGGTGGGTACATTGTGAGACATCGTCGGGAGGGGGTGGTAACATGCACCCCTTTTCCCTGCGAGATTCATGACCCGTAGTGGCTCCTGCCAATAAAAATGTCAGCAAGCGGTTGTTGACTAAAATCATTTTAGAGACCCTAGGGAATCCTAGTACCCTGATCTAGCAAGCCTAGCAGGTGGCTGCACAATGAGTTTGAAACATGTCGAAAACAGTCATTTTGGAAATTGAGTCCACTTGTACTAATATTTTATGTGTCTCTTATAATAGTTGTTGAGAGAAATTCTTGTCCTTGTGTCCCATAACTCGTTCCTGGCTCCAGGGTATAGACCTAAGGACTCTATAATATAGGCTGTATTATAGAATCACACTTCTCAACCCCCATGCTGTGGGAACCCTTATTCCTCAATCTTCCCCACCCCACCTGGATATTTCCTTGACGTATCGGTAAGGGTACCCCTTTACAGATCTTTCTAAGAATAACAGACTACCCCAGCATGCATATAGAGAACCCCCTTTCTTGACTATGGATCACCCTTCTCATTAACCCACCCCATCAAATTTTGCATACCACAAGTACCCCACTGGAAGTACGCCAACTTGAAGTGTCCAATGGACGCCAACTCCCCATGCATGCAGTAGAGTCCCTGAAAAGCATTTGCCGGTCGGTATCTCCCACAATCTCACTTGTTTCTCGGCTCCCTACACCCCCTTTCACACCCTCAGGACCCCTACCCCCTAAAAATCTACACGCATTTAACTCACCTACCCTAGCGTGTGACACGTACAGTCTCCGACGAGGGGTTACTGCAGAGCCCAGATCGCGATCTCCCATAACCTGCCTGGAATCTGAATCTCGAAAAAATCCTCTTTCGACCACAGAGACCGTACATACCCCTCAGAGGCCACGAGGAGACTCATCTTAAAACAACTTTTATAAATGACGGGACGCATCGGAGGTAGCCCAACCCTTCATTTCAGTAACTCCGGCTACCAGTCCCCCCGGCGGCGGGCACGGGCGGCGGGCCCGGCAAGAGATCTGAGCGGGGATGTGGTCTCACTTTCTGATTTGAGTAAAAAGATTCTTGTTCCTCAGCACGTGCAGACACAGAGGCTGGTATGGCGGCGGTATGCTGGGCATGCTCGCGTCGCGCGCGCTGCTCCGCTCTCGCTTCGGCCTCGAGCAGAGATGAAGACTCGAACAGAGATGAAGATACCTAACTGTCGAGGTTAGCCCTCCATGTCCGCACCGTGTGTCCCCTCTATCTTCCCTCCTTTGTGTGAGATAGCCGGTGATGCCTTATTTTCCATGCTAATGCTGATGCTAAGTGACGAAAACGATTCTCACGACGGTCAACTGAGGCTATCTCCACACATGACATGTTATTGTTCCAATCCCTTGATTCACATCGAGCATATTGATTCAATCTTTCACTGATTCATGTCGCTCCAGTTAAATCCGGGTGTTGACCGCCCAGTGGGATCAAGTTGTCTTCCGAATGAGAGCTTGCACGCGGTCGGGCTTGCAAGGTGAACATGTCTGTGGTTGTGTTCTCTATCTCTTGGACACAGTGAAGGATTCTTTTTGTATTCATACTGTATGAAACCAGTGCGTTGATTACAACCTTTGTTGTGCGGAGTGTTCCTGGTTAAAGATATTTTTCCCGGTCCGCTGGATGTGCGAGATGAATGACGCCTTTGTCCCTCAGGGTAGCCTTCATGCACTAGCAGCACGTTCCACCAGCAACATCGTTCTGTACCATGGTCGCTGGGACGCTGGGACGAGGCCAGCCATTGGGTGAGAACAGCGTTACCCTTGCGCTGTCTGTGGTGGTAGTGGAGGAATGCCTGTGATTTGAAAGAGCAATGCACCACTCTCAAAGGAGCTTGCCTCCTGATGTTGATTTGCTACACCCAAGTATTTTGAGGCATGCTTCACCAGCCCTCCAACCCCCGTGTGCCGGTCGCAGCGCTGACTCGTTCACTGCAGGAGCGCATGCTGGTTGAAAGGAGCGCTGCCATGAGCTGCGGTACTGAGAGTTTGATACGTGCATGTATGACCTCCTGTGTTTGAGTTGATAAGTGCGCTGGTGGGATATAAACATGTAACAATCGCACTCTCGCACATGAATAAAGAAGTTCACAGGAACTTCCCATGCTTCTCCAACAGCCCCCCCCCCCCCCTTCCAATGGGGATGTGTCTAAATTGATCGGTTGTTGATCATTCCACTCAGTCCTAATACGCTGCGCGGGCTCCCCCTTACTCGGTCTTCCCATCAAACTTTTCTAGCTACGGATAGCACTAAGGTAGAGCCGAGGGAAAAGTGACAACGGTATGAGAGGTTGCTCCTCCTCCTCCGTCTCGACCTCGTGATCCTCGTCGCTTGCGGGACTGTGCTTGGTGCCCTTCCTGCCCTTCCTTCTGCCTTTTTGTTTGCTCCGCTTGTCTCCATTGTTCCATGTACTTTGAAAGTTTGTTGGCGGTTTTATCTCTTTCTTTTTCCTTCACCTCCTCCGACGCTATCCCCAGGCTTGTCTTCTCCTTGTGTTTTTAGTTCTCGCTCTCCGCTCGAGCCTGACTCAGTGAGCCTTCTTGGTAAGTCTCGACCAGCGTATTCTGAGCTATGAACACCTGAACGGTCCGACGGGATCGGGCGACTCGGAGCCACAACGGTAGATTGGGGGCCGGGCCCGGTACCCGCCGGACACCGAGTCACACCGTGCACCGGTGGCACTGCTCAGTGAGTCACTCGGCCCGGGCCTGCCGGCCGCCCGCCGCCCGGCCCGGCGCGCGGCGGGGCCCCGTGGCGGGAGTATCCGGGAGTATCCGGGAGTATCCGGAGAATCCAAGAGGTATCCGTGAACGCGCTATGACCAGCCCCATGTGAAGGAACGAAGACAAGAAGACAGCATGGCTACAAGGGATGAAGACAACAAGCGTTGAAGACATCAACACGACATGATACAAGTTAACATGTTAAGAAGACAACTGAAGACAACAAGCGTTGAAGACGTCAATACGACATGATACAAGTTAACATGTTAAGAAGACAACAGGATCACAACAGCAGTATAACTCAGAGCAGCACAACCCCGTAGCGAGAGATGCTGAGGATCGATAAGCGAAGAACAAGAGGATAGGGATCATAGGACGATGAGATTGAAATGATAGATGGGTTGACGATGATGAAGGGATGAGGGAATCGGCGATTCCCGCCGAATTGTTGCGAAACAGCGAGCAGAAGACATGAAGAGGATGAGGGGCAAAGACGATGCAAAGGATATGCACAAGGCAAGTCCAGCTAGGGATGATGCACCCACGAATCCGAGGAAGGGCGGGAAAGCAGAGGCCCTACCGATTAATCCGGACAAGAGGAGGAAGACGGAGGTTGGCAGTGTACGGGATGCTAGTTTGAGACAGAAGGAAACAGACGAGCTGTTGAAGAAGCTGCAGCTGACCTTCGAGTCCAGCTCGCAGAGGATGAGCGTGCTTGAGAAAGACCTCGTCGGCAAAACCAACATGCTCAAAGAGGCATCCAGAAGGCTTGCCGACTTGGAGGAAGGGCTAGAGCACAAGAAGGAGGAGGGATTAGCTCTCAAGAAGAAGATCCAACAGCTCCAGGAAGCACTGACGTGCTGCATCTGCCTTCAGAGGTCCTCCTTGTTCCTCTTCGACTGCGGTCACAGCTTTTGCTGCGGAGACGAATGCCAGTCTTCGCTCTACACCTCCTGTCCTCAATGTAAAGTGCCCGTCACCAAGAAGATTAAACTGTTCAGCACTTCCAACTTCGCCACCGTCGCCATACAGTCCGACGATGTGCAGGATGATGATGACAAAGAAGTCGACTCTGTCATGCAAGAGGCCGCAGCCTGGACCCGATCGCACCATGAAGAAACATCGGCGCTTGAGGATGAGATCTCAGCTATCAACAAGAGTTCGGACAACCTGTCTACGGACTTTCATCGGATACAGAATGCCCTTGCTTCATCGATTGATACTCACGCAAGAAATGTAGATACCATCCAGAACTTTGTCGAGGGTCTTGCGCTCTTTTCCGATGCCCAGCATCTCAATCCGTCGATTCTTGAAGTTTTCTCTGAGAAAAAATCTTTGCAAATCAAGAAGGATCTGATTGTTCGCAAGAAGATTGAGCAGAGCTTTCAGTCCGGAGCGATCGAAGATGTTTTCAAACAGATGGGCCGCAACACTGATCGCGCAGGAATACAAGAGAAGGCTGTGAGAGTAATACAGAAGCTCATCAACAAGAAAGAAAATGAGGCCCTTTGGAAATCATTGAAGAGCACGTCGGGGGTTGAGAAGATAGTGCAGGCGATGGTGAACCATGAAGACAGTGAAGGGCTGCAGATGATGGGCTGTGAAATCCTCAGGAAGGTTGCTGAGACAAGGATTGAGCTCCTGACGTCTGTGAAGGGAATCGTTGAGGCCCTTTGCAACGCGATCCGGCTGTTTGGCAGGAAGTCAACAGTGCAGACGGATGTTTGTAAGACAATGATTCTGCTCTCCTCGGAGAAGGACAACACAAACATGCGAGTCCACCTTGTCGAGGGCCTCATACAGGCCATGTGCTGGAACCTCAACAATGAGGAGATTCAGATCGCTGGTTGCCGCGTTATCCGCAACCTGTCCATCCTGGAGGAAGAAAAAGTTTCGGTCTGTCGACACGGAGGGGTCAAGTCGGTGGTCAACGCGATGAAGAACCACACCAAGAGCACCCGAGTTCAAATCCAAGGGTGTGCAGCTCTCATGAATATCGCCGGGAACAGCAACAGCAGCGTCCCCGACTCCATCATGCACAAGGTTCACGAGGTGGTAGGAGGGAGCAACGCGATCGAGGTGGTAGTGGACGCCATGAGGTCGCACAGGGACAATGAGGAAGTTCAGATCCATGGCATCGCGGCGATCCGAAACCTTGCATGGAGCCAGAAGCTGAAGCTGATGATCGCGCCGGCAGGAGGTATCGAGGAAGTGATCTCTGCGATGAGGAACTTCCCTCTCAACAGTCAGATCCAAGTGCACGGGTGTGCAGCTGTCAAGAATCTTTCATCCAACGCTGTTGAGAACAAGAAGAGGATCGGGGAAGAGGGAGGCATCGCCGCCATGCTGAGCACTCTAGAGCTCCATGTGCAGAACCAGGACGTGATGATGCAAGCTTGTGCGGCGCTAAGAAACCTCGCCAGCTTGGAGCAGAACAAACAAACTCTGAAAGAGCTGGGGGGAAGCAAGGTGACGATGATGTTTGTGCTTTTGAGATGAGGAGGGTGTTAAGATGATGATAATGGTTATGGTGTCCGTGGATGTGTTTTAGATTGCTACTATATTGAGAAAGACGATGATGATTGTGTTATTTGATAGAGTTGATGATTGTGAGGAGGAATAGCAATCAGACGGGCGAGGGCGATTTGAGGGAGGCAGGGAGGCAGGGAGGCAGGGAGGCAGGGAGGCAGGGAGGCAGGGAGGCAGGGAGGGAGGGAGGGAGGGAAGGAGGGAAACAGGAGGCAGCCGTATGACTGGATGGATGTCAGTTTGTCATCGACGCCGTCCTTGCTCACCCGACCAACCAAGCGATTCAAGAGCACAGTTCAAAGATTCTCAAGATGCTCTCAACCGTCTCGTCAGTGCAGAAAGATCAAGAGGAGTCTTCATCTTCTCAGCGACCGAAAGTGAGACAGCGAGACAACCCGAACCAACCTTGGCAGTTTTCTGTCTGACGGTGTCGTTGTTGCAGAACAAGGATGAAAACTCATCAGATGCGACGAAAGATGTGAGCTGATCGCGTTTGATGCCTCAAGTTTGACTCTCCTTCAGCATCCAACGTCTCGCCTGCATGAGATTCTCCCCCCTGCTCAAGATCGAAGAGGACTAACATGTCTGTCTGACCATCCTCTTACGCACTCGTCCTCCTCCCCTTTTCTTTGTCCACATCACTATTCTCCTCGTTTTCTCCCCCCTACCCCGTCGTCTTTCCCCTTATCTCCTTCAACTTTGCTCTCCTCCTCTCTCCTCAAATTCCGATTGACTTTTGAACCTTCAGCCGTCACAGTTCCCAAGGATGTGGAGAAATCAACCAAATCAACAGGGGGCGATCCGCAAGAACGAGGAAGTAAAAAGCAAGCAGAAAGTGTTGATGTCGATCAGTAGATCGTTGATGATGATGGAAATGATGAAAGTGGAAATGATGAAGATGGAGGAAGAGAGGAGGAACAGGAAGATGCTGATGATGACGACGATGAAGTTGTGCATATTGTCCTTGTTGATGATGTCATTTGATATGATTTTCTTGCCCATGATCTTAATGGTGATGACGACAACTAGGATTTAAATGTACAATGACAATCACAATAACAATGTACAATGACAATGACAATGACGATGACAACGATCACAGGCAAGGCTACCGACTCACCATCATCGTCTGTATCAGATCGCGAGAAGGGGAAGACTGATCCTCCTCTCCCTTCACAGACATCCTTAGGCGACGCAATAGACTACCATCCTCCTCCTGGCTGGAAGATCTTCCAACAACTTACCCTTGAGCAACATGACGCGCTCGAGCGATTACCATGGGGGAGCAAGTTCAAACTTGTTCACAGGTACGTTTCTCTCTCCTCCTCCTCCTTCTCCTCCTCCTCCTCCTTCTCTTCCTCCTCCTCCTTCTCTTCCACCACCACCACCACCTCCTCCTCCCCCCCCCTTATGCCCCCCCCCTCCTTCTCACAGCCTTTCCCTGCCAAAACTTCTTGAGGTTCTCCACTCTCCTTGCATCCTCCTCTTCTCTCCTTGCCCTCCAGTCCTCCTCCCCTGCCTTGTCTCTCCTCCCCGGCCTATCCTCTCTGTCTCTAACCTCCTTAACCTTTTTTCACAGGTTTGAGACCTTCTGGAGTGAAGGAACTTTCCGGAGGAGGGGAGTCAGGAAGGGCAAGACAGGGTACTGGGTGCGCTATGTCAGCAGCAACCAGGTAGAGGAATGGCTGCACGAGCTCAACTACGACGAGTACGGACCGGACAAGGTGTGGTGTATCATACAGCAGGAGGAGAAGTGAGTGCCAGGACGCGTTCACCTGCTGAAGAAGCAGTTGGGATTTGTTGGGGAATGAAGGCGAAGGAGAGAGGAAGGATGCTGGTGATGGTGGAGGAGGGGAGGAGGTTGGCAGTGACGCGGGAGGGAGCCGGCGAAGGAGAGGAGGAGATGCAATAAGGATCTAGTGCAGCCGAGGGGAGACGAACGGCAGCCGCGACTGGTTGGACCGAGCAAGGAAAGATGTTGGAGATCCGTTGACGACATGGGAGGAAATGGTTTGACATTAGATGACAACGACGAACCATGACAACAGACGCCTCTCCCCGCTCCCCTCTCCTCTCCCTCTTTACTCCTCCCTCCTCCCTCCTCCCTCCTCCCTCCTCTTTCTACTCTTCTCTCTCAACAAGCACTTGGCGTCTTTAAGATGGTGTACATCAAGTGGGAGATGGCACTTGCAGCGGAAGCTCGAGCTGCAACCAATTTCTTCTGATTCTTCTGTCTTATTTACAAAATATTACAACTCACCAAAACATCCCCTTCTTATTCTCTCCGATCAGAAAGTTATAGTCAGCATCATCTGGAAAACAAATCATTAGCATCAGTTCGCATGGGGCAGCAGGAAGGGAACAACCTTTCTTCTTATTCTCGACCTCCTCGTCATAGTCTCTCTGAAGCGACTCGAACTTCATCAGCAGCTGTCTCTCTGTCTCCACTGCATCCCTCTTTCTCTGCTGAACCTGACCTACACGTCAGAACCAGCCTCCTCCTCCTCTCCCGCCTTCACCTCCACCAGTCGCGCCTGCTCCAGCTTCAGCTGCTTCTCAATTATCATCAGAAATTTCTGCTCCTCCCTCTTCTGCAGGATCAGCGCGTTGAGCTGCGCTGCGTTGGCCGTCCCGTACCTGTCCTGGAACTGGATGAAGTAAGGGCTGCCTCGCATGAGATCGATCTTGAAGTTGAACGGCTCCTGCCCCCCCACGTCCCTCGTCATGTTCAGCGCCACGAAGCTTCCAGGAGGACCATGGAGCGTCGTCCTCAGTTGATGGAGGGACCAGCCTTGCACGCTCTCGTCGTCCAGGCGAGCAAGCATGTCATTCACCCTCACCAGCCCGCTCTTATGCGCAGAGCTGCCGGGAACGATTGATACCACCCTCAAGCTCCCGTCTTCGGGGCTGATCCGGAAGAAGAGTCCCACCCCTACCTTGTCCGGCCCTGATTCGTCCAGGCCGCTCCATGACCCAACTTCCACTTCTGCCTGAGCAAGCAGCCACTCGCTCGCCACCTCCTTGGGCGTCCTGAGCTTCGATGCTCTTGAATCGGTCACTGACATCCTGCTCTTCATGGTCAAACAAGCGGAGGGAAGACAACTTTGTTACAGAACGTGAGTTCCCTTCTACAAAGATCTTTGTTACAGAACGTGAGTTCCCTTCTACAAAGATCTTTGTTACAGAACGTGAGTTCCCTTCTACAAAGATCTGACTGTCTTTGCCTGTACCGCAATCCTCTCCCTTTGAAACTCCAGCTGCTCCTCGGCATCATTGTTGTTCATCCCTGTTAATTACCTTCTTTCCTCTGCCATTCTGCTCTCCCACACTGCATCCCTCCCATGTCGCTATCTGGTCTTCTTCTCTGCATATTTCTTCTTCTTCTCCTCTCCCATCGTTTCCTCTTCCTTCTCTTCCATCATCGCCAACTCCATCTTCATCGCATCTCAAAGGCCATTCCATGCAAAACAAGCGGTTTTAGACCGTTACAACAATTTAGATCAGGCACCAGTGATGTTGGCTGAGCCGCCTGAGTGACTGATCATCCTGCTGCAGATCCTGCTGATCATCCTGCTGATCACTGTCCCTCAGTGAGCCGCTGATCATCGCCGGGACTCCAGGATGTTGAATGTCAGTCAATAAAGAATGTTGTCAGTCATGATGTTGAATGTTGTCATGAAGTGTTAATGTTTGTTGTTACTCAGTGTTGCCAGTCAAGTTGAATGACTCAAACGGCAGAAAAGGCAAACCCGGTCGGAGCAAAACATCCGTACCTGGAGTGAAGGGAACAAACTCAGTTTAGGCCCTTTGCAAGTTATGGGTGGCAGAGCTCGAGCGATGATCAGAAATTGCCCGGCGGATTTCTTTGCGCCTCCTGTCAGCGCCGTGTCAGCAGGAGCGAAACAAAACAAATTATAGACCACCCCACCAAATATATTAATAAATGAATTAAAAGGAGGGGTAAAGAGATAATTTGATAGCTTTTTTTAAGGTATGTCAGCTGTTAGTTCTCATGTTCTTCTCGAATGCTCCCCGTCCCCGTTCCACAACAGCTTTCTCCCGCAGAAGTCCATCCTTCCTCCTTCCTCCCTCTTCTTCTCCTTTCCCTCCTCGTCCTCCCCCTGCTTCTCCCGCCTCTCCCCCTGCATCCTTCTGCTCCTGCTCAACAACCCCGTGCCCCCATAAGCGAACTTCAACTAACCCCAGTGCTGAGTTACGTCCTCAGGTCCATCCCACAATGCAGTGGTGCGTCGTACACGATGTGGAAGCAGAAGCTGTAACGCTTTCATGGAGCAAAGTTCCTAACGCGGTGAAGTACGAAGTTCAGATCAAGCAGGAGGAGGGAGGAGACTTCACTACCATCTCCGATAGCCTGACCTCAACACTGGTCCGCAAGAAGAATCTGAAACCCAACACTGAGTACTTCGCGCGCGTGCGGCATCGAGATGCTCTGGACTGGTCAGGCTTCTGTGAGCCTGTCTCCTTCCACACCCTTGCAGGGCAGGACGTGAAGCGCCTTGAGCACCCCCAGGTTGTGAGCAGGGACGGCGAGTCCATCACGTTGCAATGGCCGACAGCTCCTGATTGCGAGTCTTACACCGTCGAGATCCGATCTGACAAGGATCCGACGTGGAGGACGATATCAGATCATCTCAAGAACAACATCGTACGAAAGAAGAACCTCGAGAAGCATGTCATGTACTACTTCAGGTGAAAGTCGTTGACGCATATCAGGTTGCTCACCCGCTGTCAGGGTGAAGCCGAATCTCGCGGAGGGTAGCGGTTCATGGTTCTTCAGCCCTCCTTCAGAGGGAGCCATGTTGGCGGATCTCCCACCCTTCCTCTCCAACCTCCTCAGCCCGACCCTCGTGGATGCCCAGGGTACCTCCAAGCCTGTTAGCTCCCTTGCCGGGTATGTGACGTGTTTCATCGTTCTGTTCTCTGTTCTCTGTTCTGTGCTCTGCTCTGCTCTTCTTTGCACTGTACTGTACTGTACTGTACTGTACTGTACTGTTCTGTTCTGTTCTGTTCTTTCTGTTCATTCTTTTATTTTTACATCAAAATCTCTCTTTGATACCGTTTGTTCCTGTTTGAACCTTGTTACTGGCACTGATCTACTTTCTCCCATCAGATGTGTTGTAGCGCTGTACTGCTCTGCATCCTGGTGCGGCCCTTGCAGGCAATTTACCCCGCAGCTCTCGCAGGTCTACTGACAGACTTGTGCTGCTCGTGGTGCTGATTTGCTGCAGTTCTATACCCAGATGAAACAGTTAGGCAAACCATTCGAGGTTGTTTTCCTCAGCTGCGACAGAGACAGGTTTGTTTTCTCTTGTCTCATGCTCCTTGTCTTTCAGCTTGTTCTCGGATGGCTGTTGACACTTCCTCCCTCCCTCCCTCCCTCCCTCCCCTCCCTCGTCATCCCTCCCTCCCTTCCCTTTCCGCTCCTTGCTCTATTCTTTCTCTTTCTCTTCACCTTTCTTGCTTGCCGACTCCTTCTGGCTCCTTGCTCCCCATCGTGATCGTTTACATGGGCAGCAAGTCCTTCACAAACTACTTCGGGCACATGCCGTGGCTCGCTGTACCCTTTGACTCCGATAAGCGAGAAAATGCCCTCGGAGCTCTACAGGTATGTGAGACAAGGGGGATCGTTTCCTTTCGCCTCCCCTTTCTACCAGTCCTGCTTGTGCCGTCCCTGTCCTGCCGTTGTCCCTGTCCCTGCCCCTGCCCCTGCCCCTGCCCCTGCCCCTGTCCCTGTCCCTGTCCCTGTCCCTGTCCCTGTCCCTGTCCCTGTCCCCGTCCCCGTCCCCGTCCCTGCCCCTGCCCCTGCCCCTGTCCCTCTACCTTTACCTGTACCTCTGACTCTCTCCCGTCTGTCTCTAGCTCTGTTTCTCATGGCACCTGAGAGTGTTGCTACAGGTTGAAGGGATCCCGAAGCTTGTGATCGTTGGAGCGAATGGGATGGTATTGCAAGACAATGCAGTCGGCACTCCCCTGAACGCTCAGAAATTGGATTCTTGGATAGCAGGCAGACCTTAAGGGCGCCAAACAATCTTTGCCTGTCCTCCCCTCCCCTCCTTGCCTGCCCTCTCTAGAATCTCTCTGTCCTGACATCTCTGCATCGACTTGATGCCAGAAACAGTAAACTTCATGTCCCTGTGAGGAGCAAGAGATTCGTATTGACAACACGAAAGATTACTCATTCTCGCGCTCGAAATACCGATCTATTCCATGACACTCCTCCCAGAAGATGTTCTGCATCCTTTGCAAACGGTCTTCTATTTCCCTTACATCCTTTCCTTGATCCTGAAACACCATCAATCCAATGGACTGATGTGCTCTACCCCACTTACCTTGAGAGAAATGCACCTTCTTCGAAGAAGTTCCATTTTCCGCACCATGGTCTGCAAAGCACGTTCCTGCAGTTGCATCACTTCTTCACTGCGTGCCTGGAACAACACCTGAGATCCTTTCTCCTTCAGCGGAGCATCGAAGTATTTTTCTCTGCCTGTTCAGGATAGCACATGAGAAAAGAGGGGAGGAAGACAGCGAAGTGATCTTCACCTTCGCAAACGTCTCCTCGTATTCAAAATTGACATCATCTTCATTGTAGGGATTGAATTCTAATTCAGACCTGCAACCCGACAGGAGGACATCACAAAGTTCAAAAAAACGAGTTTCAAATCATCCTCCTCCTCCTCACCATCACAAGCAGCATTATAGAAATACTATTACCACCTTCACCACCATCATGGTTATCGTTTTCGTATCAAAAACATCGTAATCGTCATCTTCATCGTCATCACCATCACCACCACAGACGCCGCCGTCGCTGCCGCCGCCAACACCACCATAATCGCCATCATCATCCTTGTCATCATCATCAAAAACATCCTCACCATCCTCCTCCTCCCCATCTCCATCAGCCTCCTCCTCCTCCTCCTCATCATCATCATCATCATCATCATCTTTCATCTTCATCATCGTCGTCATCATAATCATCATTTCCATCATCATCATCATCATCATCATCATCATCATCTTTCATCTTCATCATCGTCGTCATCATCATCATCATCATCATCATCATCGTCATCGTCATCGTCATCGTCATCGTCATAATAATAACAAGTATGATCATTATCACGTGTCATCTTCGGAGTCTTCCAAAGGCCCCTCAGCTACTGGCGCTCTTTCTGTCTTGGAACTGTTGACATTGGAGCTTCTTCGAAGTTTCAACTCCTCCTTCCCTTGCTCATCCTGTTCACATGTAAAGTTCTTCTGCTGTGAAGCAAGCGTCTTGCAAATGCAAAGGGAGTCGATGGCACTGGTATCGTTGCCTACCCCCACTGCTGCCTCCAGCACATGATTGCGAACAGACGACAGTCGTCCGGAGTCCAACAGCTTGTCCAGCTCGTCAACCTTTCTCAAAATTGTTGTCTGCAATTCATCCATCTCCTTGGAAAACGAAGTGATGGAATGAAAGTGATGATCGTCAAACATATGTTCACGAGTCCTGTGGTCCCAGACTGACAGCGCTACCAGCCGTTTGGCCTTGTAGAGCTCATCAATGACTTTCACCCTGCAGCGCATGCTGTAAGAGAGCGATGTTACAAGTTCAAGGTGACTTGCCTTCTGTTCAAACTCTTCCAGAAGATCTCCAATGGCTGCATAGTCACTATATCCTCTGGGTTTTCGAGGAAACGCAACACGCTTCGACTCATTCGTACAATCTTCAACGCCTGGGTTTGCATCCTTGCATTCATATCGTCGAAGTTGCCCTCCAGTTTAGCATAGTTCTCAGGCGGCTGCTCGCTCACCCACATGCTCGCCCTTCCTTGAAGCATCGAGTTCATCTCATGAATGTCTTCTAGCTCGTATAAAAGAGTGTCGATGCAACAGCCTGGCCAGCTCTTACACGAAGGATAGCATGTGACTTTCTTGGGCATCGAGCTCCGTGCTGGCGCCTGATGGACTTGGGTCGGTGGCAGGGTGTTTGAGCATGGTGAAGAAAGGGGAATGAGGAGGAGAGTGAAAATCCCCAGAAAGTGAGGAGCGTACCGCAAAGACCACATGGAGGGACAGCGTTGAGAAAGAGTGAAGGCAGGGGTTGCAAGCTGAGTCAGTTCAAGTTGTTCCTGCTCCTGTTGTTCTAGTGCTGCCTCTCACTCTTGCTCCTCGTCCTCGTCCTCCGTTACCGCTCCTCCGCCATGCGCGTTTCTGTCAATGCATCCGGTGGTGCTGATGGAATTAGCATGGTAGGGTACTGTAAGTACCGGTGTTATTGAAAGACTTTGGAGGGGTGCTTGCATTACTGTGTGGGGTACTCAAGGATACACTTTGGTCAGTCGGCCTCAGGATAAATAATAGGAAATAAAATAAGACACTAACTATTACATTACGAATTATTACCCTGTGGAGGTTGATGTCCTTGTTGCTATGGAGAACGAAGGGCGAAAATGCCAACACTAGTTGCGAGAGAGCAAGAGGGAGAGCAGGCAGGGACTGTCATGGCAGGGAGGAGCAGAGAGGAGCAGAGAGGAGCAGGGAGCAGCAGGGAGGATGAGAACGGGTTGGAATGGGGATGGGATTGATGGAAGTAGCTAGTCTATGGGAGACAGATTTCTTGTAGGCAAGCTGTGCAAAGTAGAGACGAAGGTGATAGCCGGAAGTGATAGGATGAGCTCAACAAGGACAACAGACGTGTCTCAACTTGGCTGATACATGCCGCAGACAATGATTGTCCATGACGGGAGACGATCGACCATGACGGGAGACAACGCTGCGAGAGCTTGATTCTGCTAACATATTGATCGCCCACTGGGCATCTCGACCAGATGTCAACGGACACGTGGAAGCATGTGATGGTGTACCTTGCGAGTGGATATTACGACATGGAAGGTGTTGCGTGCTGCTGTAATGTTGTTGGCATGATGCGAGCGATGCCGCAGGGGAGAGGAGAGTTATCTTCAACGAGATCCTGCCACAACTCCAGAAAAACTGCGTCCCGATGCGTGTTCAGGTGGAGCAGCTTGTCGTCTCGTTGACATGGTTGTTCTGTCTGACTGCCCTACAACACCTTCAGGTTCATTTTGTTGACATCCGATCCGGGTTGACGGAGCATGACTGGTGGAAGATTCTTGAGATGGTATGCAGAGTTGAGATTTCACCTTGATAACACCCCTATCCAATTCTTTGTGCAGAAATCCTCATTTTCGATTCGATCCCTTCCATTGAAGATGTTTGTTTTGTTGTTGCCTTCACAGTCTTCTAGACAGGATTGTTGTCAAGCTTGTTTTGATTGTTGTCTATTCTCGATGCTATCCTCTTCTCCACCAACGTCGATTACAATGCCTCCTCCTCTTCCTCTCACCCGTTCCCTCCCTCTCTCCGTCCCTCCCTCCGTCCCTCCCTCCTTCGTTCTCACTGTCCTTGGTCAGAGCTCCTTCATACCGATCCTCAACGAGATCGATCGCTGCGCTCCTTTCTTCATCGGGCTGTACGGGGAGAAGTACGGCCGTTTCATCAAGGACTACCGGTTTCCGGAGAGTCCCAGTTGGAACAGGATCCGCAGCATGCTTCCTCCTGGACGGTCCCTCCTAGAGCTCGAGACGTTCTGGGGGACTCTGAAGGATCCGAAGAAATGTAACCCTCTCTTCTACTTCAGGGATGCCACCTTCCTGTCCTCGGACAAGTTCAAGGCTGACGAGAGTCTGTTCTGCTCCTCGGAGAAGTCGGGCCCGCTGACCAGTAAGTATCCGGACAGGAAGACTGACTTCTCGATCGGGTACGCGTACCGAGCGGAGAGCTTGGAGGCGTCGAAGCGCATGCTCGACCTCAAGAGGCAGATCATAAAGGCCCACGGGCTGGACTGTGTTCTAATGGACTACAAGTGTACATACCTGGGCCCAGTCGACCAGATGGCTGTGGTCGGCGACTTGGACGAGTTCAAGGTCCACCTGACCAAGAACCTTTTCGAGAGGATTATCAGTCGCTTCCCCCCCTCTACCTCTGCCGTGGACCTGCTCTCCATCGAGGACGACTACCACAAGGCTTGCCTGAACGAACAGCTCCGCTTCCGTATGGTAGGAAGGAAGGAGCTCTTGGATGCTGTCGTGGAGTACTGCCTCGATCCCTCAGACGATGGTGATCCAGAGTTCGAAGCTCCTCCGCTGGTCATGCATGGCAAGCCCGGAGTCGGCTTGTCCTGCCTTGTGTCCAACGTCGTGGATACTCTGAGAGATAGGAGGGACTTCAAGAGCGATGTTGTAATCTACCACTTCATTGGGGCCTCCCCCCGGTCCAGGAATGTCAGGACCATCCTTGAGCGGCTGTGCAACATGATCTCCCGCGGGTTCAACTTCAACTTCGTCATCCCCACCGACTTTGTCAACCTCGTCACCTGCTTCGAGCTCCTCCTCCAACACTCCCACAAGTCCCGGGGGAACAGGCTGGTGATCTTTCTGGATGGGGTAGATCAGATGGATGCGGACTACCATGGTGAAGTCCTGCACTGGCTGCCCGTAAAGAGCCATGCTCGCATCATCGTCTCCATGCATACAAGCTCGGATTCTTACCAGTCCATGAAGAGGAGGTACGGGGCCGGCATCCGGGACCTCCAGGTCCCCGACCTGACCGTCGAAGGCAGCAGGGAGATTCTTGCTGATCGGATGTTCACTGCGCACAGATCGTTATCTATCAAGCAGATGAATATGTTGATGGACAAGGTGGAAGGCAGGAGGCCGTTGTACCTGATGTTGGCAGCTTCGGAGATCATGGTCAGTGCACACGAAAATTCTCCTTTGTCTGCTTTTGCCGACACGTTCGCGCTCGTTCGTGATTGCATTCGTGTGTGTCTGCTCTGTTTCCTGCATGCCATCGATCTATGTTGTCGTCATTGTCATCTTTCTTGTTGCTGCCGAATGTCACACTCTCACTCTTCAATAATCTGAATCCTTCAATATTGCATTTCCTATTCCCCATCTTTCCCTTGCGCTATCCATGTTGTTCCTCTCATTCTCCCTATCATCCTTTATCGCACTCACCCGCAACCCGCAGGTCTTCAGCTCCAAACAACCTGACGTGTCAACAGACACAAGGATGGACAACTTTGTTTACCGGATGAGTCCGACTTCCATCGGCCTATGTCGGCAGACTTTCATGCGCTGGATCGAAGAGTTTCCTGTAGAGATCTTTGGCAACCTCGTACAAGATCTCATCTGCCTGCTCGCCTGCTCCAGACACGGTCTGCAGGAGGACGAGATTCTTGAGTTGATCTCCCACCGAGATCCTCGCACGTTTGAGGGTTCTGGGCTGGACTACCCGGAAGTTCCCCTTCCCCGCCTGATGTACGTCCAGTGCTTTGATCGGATTGAGCTGTTTGTGCGCGGGGGGCCGAGATGGTCCATCAGGATCGTCCAGTTTGCTTTTTCGGTGAGTTGTGAGATGTTTGAAACACTACGAAGCATGTTGGGTGTGATGTTGAGTGTTGATGTAGTCTTCTTTGCTTGTTGAGAGGTTGCGATGTGGATGACGATGTTGCTTGCTGCTTGTGAGCGTTCAAGTGCGCGTGCTAAGAGAAAGCTCCATCGTGCTCCTGCTATCTTCCCTTTGACGCTGTTCTCCTCCACAGGCTATCGTCAGAGCGATTCAGAAAACTTTCTTCCCCGACAACTTCGACGCCTCCAAGTTGTGGGTGAAACTTTATTCCTTCGCCATCGCAAGGGACCGAGCGCGGCGCTTTACCTCCAGCAGCGCGGCCAACGCGTCCGACATGGTCGGCGATGCCATGAAGAACATCGGGACGAAGAACCTTGAGGAGAGGTACCACTCGCGCATCGCCAAGTACCTCAGGGACAAGGAGACCAACAACGAGGACGCGCGCGCGTCGTGGGGGGGGACGTTCCCCCGGGCTGTGAAGGAGCTGCCGTACCACCTGACTCAAAGTAGAGGATGGAGCAGGCTAGAGGAAGTTGTGCTCGACCTGCGCTTCATTGAGGCAAAGTTCCGCCTTCACATGGGGCACGACCTCCTGCAGGACCTTGTGCTCAGCGTGCAGGCCAAGGCGCCGGAAGCTGCCAGGACGGGGAAGTGGGGCCACGGCCACAAGAGGATACAGGACATGCACAGATTCATATCCCAGAACTTCAAGAAGATCTCGTCCGACGCCTCCTCTACCTTCCAGCTCGCCGCCAACAACTCCTCCTCCTCCACTCTCGCGCGCATCGCGCTAAGGCACTGGCAGGATGGCTCGATCCGCCAGCCCTGGTTCCGATGGCTCAACAAGCCGGCTGAGATCGATCCTCTCATCCTTATCATGGAGGGTCACACCGCTCCTGTCAACCGCGTCCGCTTCTCCTCCGACGGCCTCCGTATCCTCTCCGCCAGCGAGGATTCTTCCATGTGCCTGTGGGACGCGTTCAGCGGGGAGCTGATAGGCAAGCTCTTCGGCCACTACCTCCCTATCCTCTCTGCGCCTTCATCCCTGGCTTCGGAGGAGGCGAGCTCCGCGGCCGCGTGCAGAGCTCGGACTGGACTGCCATCTCAGCCAGCAGAGACAAGACGATGAAAGTTTTCGACCTTGCTTCGGGTCAGGAGGTGAAGCAGCTCAAAGGGCACATAGGACGCGTCCTGTGTGTAGCCGTCAAGTCCATCCTTGAGCTCCAGGAGGACGGGGAGCTGAAGAGGCGGCTGCTGGGGGCGACTGGCTCGTGGGACAGGAGCTGTAAGATATGGGACTTGGACCAGGACGAGGTTCTGCATGACATGGGGGGCCCGGAGTCCACCAACACTTGTCCGAACAGCGCTGGTCACCAGAACACGGTGAGAGACGTCAGTTTCAGCCCCGACGGCTCCGTCCTCGCTACTGGCTCCGACGACGAGACGGTTCGGCTGTGGAACGTGCAGACTGGGGAGGAGATCAAATGCTTCCTGGGGCATGACAACGCTGTGATGAGCGTAGACTACAGCAGCAACGGTGAGCTGGTGCTTTCTGCTAGCCTGGACGGGACCCTCAAAGTCTGGGACACGTCGGAGCCAGGAGGAGGAGCTGACTCTTTCTTTGACAAGACGAGCAACTCTTGGCTGAAGATTCGCAAGGAGATCCTGACGCTGGTGGGGAACCTGTCGGGCGTTCTTGAGGGGAGGATGGCGAGCGATATGGAAACGGCAGTATCAGCAGGGAAGGACGGGACCGTCCGCATCTACAGTGTCAAAATCAGTCCACACCACATGCTGGAAAGGAAGAGAGGGCAGCTAGTTCAAATTCCTCCTACAGTCACGCTCTTCGGCCACCAGGGGAGCGTCAACACCGTTGCCGTCTCCCCGGACTCTTGGCGGGTCACGTCAGCAGGAGAGGACGGAGCCTTGCGAATGTGGGACCTTGGAGGAAGCGGAGTTCCGGAGAAGCAGGGCCACAAGCTGGCGTGCGGGGGCCTGTCCTACGACAGGTTCGGGGAGAACCTGGTTAGCTGCGGGCAGGACGGGAGCATCAAACTGTGGGACGGGAAGCAAGGGCTGTTCCTCCGAGAAGTTGCCAAGAAGGAGGTACAGTACAACCGATGCTCCGTGTCTCCCGACGGCTGCGGGTCGCCGCCATCTGCCAGGACGGCGTGCTGAGGGTGTACGACATCAAGACTGGCAAGCCCATCATAACTCAGCGTCACTCCTACCTCTCGTGCTCCGCCGTCTCCTTCTCCAACGGGATGGGCTTCAACATCGCCACGGGCTCCGACGACGGGACGGTCAAGTTCTGGTCGGCCGACGACGGGACTCTTAAGGGCTCGCTGGACGCACACGTGCAGCCGGCCGGAGCGAACAGGATGAGGAAGTTCGCGGCGGTCAATGACGTCTCCTACAGCCCCGACAACGGCCAGCTGGTCTCCTGCTCATCGGACATGACGGTCAAGTACTGGCTGAGGGCGTACGACTGGTCCGGCGACCCCAACGCCGCTGAGGACTTTGGGCAGCTGAAGGATGACTTGGGGCCAGAGGAGAAGAGGAGAATGAACAGGAAGAAGCTGGTGAACGTGAAGAGGAGGGAGAAGGAGGCGACGATGACGGAAGACGAGAAGCTGGCGAGGAGGAAGAAGCAGGAGAGGGAGATGAAGGTGAAGGCGGCCAAGCTGGAGTCTGACCTGACCAGAGGGTTGGAGGTGGAGGAGGAGTCGTCCTCTGACGACAGCCTCCTCGACGACAACGACATCATGCTCATCGAAAAGGCGCTGGACGAGCAGGAGGAGGAAGATGTCACCCTCCAGACTCGCTCTTCCATGCCCCAGAAGTGGAGGCTGGTCTCCACCCTCCGAGGGCACAGCGGACCAGTCCTCTCCGCCTCCTTCGACTCGGCAGGCAAACGGGTCCTCTCCTCCTCTGCAGATGGGACAGTCCGCGTGTGGACGGCCAACTTCGAAGCTAACAGCCCCAAGAAGTCGGACAGCAGAGCGAACACGGCGTCCTCGGAGGAGGAGGAGGAGGCTGGCCATGGTGGAAGGAGCCAGGGCCCGGCAAGGAACAGCTGCCTGACTGTCATCGACGTTCATCACGGGCCTGTCAGGTCAATCCGCTGCACTCCCGACGGCGCCGCCTTCTTCCTCGTCTCCGAGGGCATCCCAGGTGACCCCCAGCTGGAGAGCACGACCAGCAGAGCTGACTGACAGTATGCAGGAGCCGTGAACGCGTCTAGAGGAGGCCTGCTGACGGTCTGGGACGCTTGGGGCTACAATCAGCTGGGCTCCTTCGAACTGATAGGCAGGGGCGTCGGGCTTGCCTGCAGCGGCCACACTCCATACTCAGTCGCCTGCAGCGATGAGGACGGGCAAGTGTACGTCTGCAGCTACGGTTACCAGGAGCCCTTCATTCCGAAGCCAACCCGCGCGTTACCCAACCCGCTCCGGCCCTCCGGCTTCTGCTCCATCCTCTAACTCCCCCCCCCCCCCCCCTCCACTGCTGCCGGCTCCTTGCCCTGTAGATAGCGTAGATAGTATGCCGAAGTTCCTTTCGCCACTTCTCCCCTGTAGTGCCTGCATTCTTCAGTGTAAATCAAACGTCAAATTTCCCCGTGGAGCTCGCATTTTAGACATCACTATTTACAAGGAACTTGTGGCTGCTAGGGTGACGAGACGATATGAGGGCATCCAACAACAGCATCTCCCTCCCTTTCTCATGAGGGCATCCAACAACAGCATCTCCCTCCCACTCTCAATCGCAACCTGGCCTAGAATTGCATCTCTAGCGTTGCGAAACTGCCGTTATTGTCCATGGTGAAGTTCCTGACAGGTCAAAGTCAATCGTCGTCAATCGTGTAACGTGACCTCCTACATCTCGGATCGAGGGTTTTGATACCACGGCGAAGCAAGATCTGCCTCGCAGAGCTGTTGAGCAACCGGTGAGGAACTTGAAATTGGAGGAAGACAAAGTCGTACATAGATGTTTTCCCGGCACAGATGCATCTCCTCCTTGACCCTGACATAAATATCCTCGTCAGCCTCCACTGGCCTCCCACCCCTCGCCTGTCTTCCTCTCCCCTTCCCCTCTCCCCTCTCCATCTCCCATCGCGTATCCTCCTCCCCTCCCATCCCCTCCCCTTCGTCCTCGTCCTCCCCTCTTCTCCTCCTTCCCTCCTCCTCCCTTCCCTCCCCTCACCTGATCGTGTCTGTGCTCCCAAACCGGAAAGGATTCTCAAGCTGTCGCTCGAGGGAGATCAGAGCGACAAGCAGCACCGAGATCAAGCTCGCAAACGCGCAGGCAAAGCCCACGTTGTTCTCGCTCCCCTCTCCTCGCGCGATGTGCAGGAAGTAGGGCCCGTAGAACATCGGCATGATCTGCGTCGTGATGAGGCTGAGGGCGCGGAGGGAGGCGGAAGTTCTGTAGACTTTGAAGGCCCAGAGGTTCTCGAAGGACTTGTTGAGGAACATAACGTACTGACAGCACGCAGAGTCAGCTCGGGCGAGCGAGCAAGGCGAGCGAGCAGAGCAGCCTCTACCTCCCTACCTGATTCAATCTGCTTGACTCGTTGCCTGGCATGCCGGCAGCCTTGAGCTCTTCAGTCGCCCGATGCAGTCGCCCGATCAATCTCACCAGCATATCCCTCCCATGCTTCTCTGCCTTCTCTACCAGATCCTTCTCCGTCGTCCCGCAGCACCCGTTCATGTGCCGCATCCTCCCCCGCCGCGGCACCAGCAGCAGCTCCTCCAACGAGTCCACGATGGCGAGCAGGAGGGTCTTGACCCGCGCTTGGTGGTTGCGATTGAGCTCAACCAGCCCCTTGGCCTTGATCCTCCTGTCAGACTGACCTGGGGGAGCAGGAGGAGCTGTACTCAGCTCGTCCCTCCCGTACCATCCTGTAGATGATGCCCAATCCCACACAGCATGAGCGAGAAAGATATTGACCACTTGTGTGCGGAAGGTACACAGCTCTGCGATCGCCTGCTCTCTGCGCTTGAAGGCGTTGGTGATGCTGTTCGAGATCGGAAACACCAGCATGATACTCACTGCTACCCAGTTCATGTTCGTGCTGAACTTCGAACCGTACCTGTCATACAGCAGCACGCTTGCCACAGAGATCAGAACAGCAGAAAGAGCGTCAGGGATCATGATGAGCTGTAGGAGGAGCTTGAATGCACCAGCAAAGTCTAGGACGGTGGCCCACCATGTCCTGGGGACGAGGACGGAGCCGCCGAGAGCTCCGCGTGTCCTGTACCTAAAGTAGAACCATTCTGAACGGCCTGACTTTGTTCGCGAGCCTTCAGCATGGTTGTTGTACCGCATCTTGTACATCTCTCCTGCTGTGTCTCTTTGTGTTCCACGTGATGCATTTGGTAGCTGCGTCCCAAGACCAGTCTCTGCATGCGCTGGATCTGTTTGGGTGTTGGTGTTTTCTGCGTGCATGGTTGTTCCTTCGTTTCCCCACAACTTCGACTCTCCCTCTATGTCCCCTCCTCCTCCTCTCTTGGATCTACCGGCCAACTTCCCCTCCTCTCCCTCTCTCCTCTCCTCTCCCTCTCTCCTCTTCTCTCCTTCTCTTCTCTCCTCTCCTTCTCTTCTCTCCTTTCATTCTCGTCCCTCACATTCTAAGCCCCGCCATGTTTTGTTACCCCACCCTCCTCCATTCTACCCTACCCTTGAATGTCATATCCCCATTTTTCTCCCAGCAGACACCGGTACTTCATCAAGTTCGACTAACTACCCACCCTTCTAGAAACACACCCAGTCACTACCCCTCCAAGTCAAATGTCTGCAAATATTCTACATGGAGGGGTGGGGGTGGTGTGTAGAAGGGGTAGGGGTATCAAAGATTCTAGATTATACCCCCTTGTTCAATAATGGTTTTCATCAATTTTTACTAGGGTGGGTATTTAAACGTGGGTAATTCGAGGGGTGGGTGGTCTAATTTTTTGCTCACTAACGCAGTGTCCTGGGTCGGTGGTTGTTCAGGATTCCTTGGGGTAGGGGTCATCAATGGAGGGGTACAAATCTCTTGGGGAAAGATCCAGTTACCAGGGTAGGTCGTCCTTGGAAAACAAGGTGGGATAAATTTGTCTGTACAGGGGGTAGGGTACTGTTGTGGGAAGAGAATAGCGAACTTGAAGCTTTGGACGAGCGGCGATGGAGAACATGGCGGGGCGGGAAGGGGCAGGACATGGAGGAATGCTAACTTAGAATCAAGGATCTGAAGGAGCAGGCAAGCAAGGAAGGCGAGGGATCACACGAGGAGGAGGGTGAGAGAAGGGGGGAAAGCATGCTCCTAGACAGACTGTTGCGATGAGCCAGAGTCAGCAGACGGGTAGTGAAGGAGTTGTCAGCTCTGCCGTACCGGCAAGCGTACAACTTCCGCTGAAGCAGTCCAGGATGGAAGAGATCGTGCCGTTAGGAACGAACCAAGATGCTTCTGAAGGGAATGGAAAGGGCGGACCAGGGAGCGTCCATGAAGTGGAGGACATACAGCGTCACCTTGCATTTACGGAAACCATGAATGCAAACATGGAACGAAGTAGGCCGCGAGCCTTGCACACTAGCCATGAGCGAAACCATCATGACGACGACGATGATGACGACGACTGGGAAGGATCAGGGTTGTTCTACTTCAAGTACAAAAACCGCGGAGCTCTCGGCGGCTCCGTCCTCGTCCCCAGGACATGGTGGGCCACCGTCCTAGACTTTGCTGGTGCCTTCAAGCTCCTCCTACAGCTCATCATGATCCCTGACGCTCTTTCTGCTGTTCTGATCTCTGTGGCAAGCGTGCTGCTGTATGACAGGTACGGTTCGAAGTTCAGCGCGAACATGAACTGGGTAGCAGTGAGTATCATGCTGGTGTTTCCGATCTCGAACAGCATCACCAACGCCTTCAAGCGCAGAGAGCAGGCGATCGCAGAGCTCTGCAACTTTCGAGCACAAGTCATCAATGTTTTCTTAGGACACGCGGTGTGGGATTGGCCTTCTGCTACAGGATGGTACGGGAGGGACGAGCTCAGTACAGCTCCTCCTGCTCCCCCAGGTCAGTCTGACAGGAGGATCAAGGCCAAGGGGCTGGTTGAGCTCAATCGCAACCACCAAGCGCGGGTCAAGACCCTCCTGCTCGCCATCGTGGACTCGTTGGAGGAGCTGCTGCTGGTGCCGCGGCGGGGGAGGATGCGGCACATGAACGGGTGCTGCGGGACGACGGAGAAGGATCTGGTAGAGAAGGCAGAGAATCATGGGAGGGACATCGTGATCCGTCTCATCGGGCAGCTGCTCCGAGCGACTGAGGATCTCAAGGCTGCCGGCATGCCACCGAATGAGGCGATCCGAATGAATCAGGTAGGGAGGTAGAGGCTGCTCTGCTCGCTCGCCTTGCTCGCTCGCCCGAGCTGACTCTGCGTGCTGTCAGTACGTCATGTTCCTCAACAAGTCCTTCGAGAACCTCTGGGCCTTCAAAGTCTACAGAACTTCCGCCTCCCTCCGCGCCCTCAGCCTCATCACGACGCAGATCATGCCGATGTTCTACGGGCCCTACTTCCTGCACATCGCGCGAGGAGAGGGGAGCGAGAACAACGTGGGCTTTGCCTGCGCGTTTGCGAGCTTGATCTCGGTGCTGCTTGTCGCTCTGATCTCCCTCGAGCGGCACACAGCCCGTGAACGCCTCTTCAGTCTTTATCTCCTTTACGAGCAGATGATGGAGGGAGGAGGAGGAGGAGGAGGAGGAGGAGGGAGGAGGGACGGAGGCGCGTTTCGATCATCTGATTTGGAGGGGGGGGGGAGCAGGGAGAGAAGAGGAGGGGAAGAGAGGAGAGGATAGAAAGGAATGGGGGAGGCTGACGAGGATATTTATGTCAGGGTCAAGGAGGAGATCGTTTATTGCCGAACGAGCATTCTGGTGATCAGCGGTCGGAGGTTGGAGGCGCAGGGGTTGACTTTCCGGGTATGGCAGGCTTGTGAGGCTGATCTCGAATCTCCATGGTATCACGATCTGAGATGTAGGAGGATACTTGAAGCATGTGAGGATTTTTGACTGCTACTTTGCAGAAACTTCGCAATGGACCACAAGTGCAGTGTCGATCTACTGGCATCGGTAGCTTCAGCACTGATCGTGCGCTTTTGGGTACTTTTGGAGGCAACAACAGACAAGATTAGTCCATTCGTCGCAACAAGCCTTCTTTGTAAATATCACGATCAAGTCTATGAATCATCCTTCTCGGAAACAAAGCTTTCGTCATCCCACTTTATGTACATCACCAAATCGCCGCATAGCTGCCTGACAGTCCGAACGCTAGAGGTCCCCCGCCGACAAACAGCTTGGTTCTAGTCGGATCGTAACAGTGCCTGCGAACAAGCAAGTTTCAGCGCCAAGGAAAAGGTCTTCAGGCCATCGTACGTGTAGACTGCATTCGGCGCTTCCTGCCCTAGAAAGTAGTTGTCAAAGATAGAGTCTCTCTTCAGCCAGCCTCGTCCTGTCCGGTAAAAATTCCTTCCACCAGCATTTTCCAGCTCCATGTACTTCATGATCCTCAGATCAAGGAAGGAAAGCGAGCCGGCTCCGCTTCCGACAGTCAGCACATCTTCCAGCACGCTCAACGACCTTACTCCCCTCCCAGTCTCCAGCGCCTCCACCGTCTCAACCAGCTTCGCAGTCCGGGGATCGAGGATCTGGACGTGGCTTTCAGACCCTACAAGGAACAGCCCCTGCTTCTGGTGGAATGCCATGCACACAAGGTCCTGCGTATGGCGGAGGTGTACAGTGGACAGAGGAGGGTTGGACATGACGTCCCAGAACTTCACCGTCCCATCGATGGAGAGCGTTGCAAATAGGCTCGTCATCCTTGCAGACTTGAGATCTCTCACCTTGTCGAGGTGGTACAGGCGGACGTCGACAGGTTTCTTCCCTGGTTGGTTCGGTCTCCAGAGCATCACGCTCTTGTCCCTTGAGCAAGAGACCAAGAGCTCTGTGTCTATCCATTCCAGCGCAAAGACCCAGTCCGTGTGGCCCCGAAGCAGCTTGCTGGGCCGCAAGTTGGATCCCTGTATGATCATGATGTCTTCTGGTTTTTGACCCCCTGTGGCTATGACCCGATCGTCCGACATGGCTATGCTGTGTATCCCACAGTTGTTGATCCCCAGGTCGTCCGTCATGTAGGAGGGGAGGCAGAAGCAGCTGAAGCGAGCTCTTGTCAGGGGTGTATGGAGAGGAGAGAGATGCTAGCTCACGTGTCATCCTTGACGTCCCAGATCATCAGCTGGTTGTCCTTGGTTCCGGCAAGGACGCGATTGGCATCCAGCCAGATGGAAGAGAAGATCTTGTTGCATCTGCGATCACATCATGTCAACAGGAGAATGTTGAGGAGCAGAGGTCGGGGCAACCTGTCTACCCCACTCAGTTCTCTCTCACGAAGGACGTGTGGGATCCTTCTGGAGATCGCCTCCTGGAGGAGGTGGTTGCTTTCAACCATCCCTTCGTCCCTCCTCCTGACGTATTGATGCATGGAAATGTCATGGCTGTCTCTGTGCTCGTTAGCCATGATGATGATAACTTGCCGTGTCACTCATGTCCTTGGTACTGTCTTCAGCATCGCAGCCTTCCCTTCATTGAAACAAGGGTCTGCGCGGAAATGTTCCTGGGTGCCAGCTATGTTGGGAGAAGACCTGGAAAGAATCATCATCGGGTACCTGGAAGAGAGGTAGGAACAATAGCAAGAGATTATGATGATAGGGAAGAGTCGAGTAAGGATGGGAGAGCGCGTGGGCGATCATGATGATAGGTGGCGACAGTTGTGGTATTGGCGGTGGAAGAGATGGAATTAGTTGTGGTTGTGGTGAGGAGGGTGATGGGGAGAGGGAAGGGGGAGAAGGGGAGAGGGAAGAGGGGAAAGGGGGGAGTGGTAGGAGTGGAGGAGGAGGA